TTCAGACAGCACCCGCGCCTTTCCTTCAGACAGCACCCGCACCTTTCCTTCACAGTGCCTGTGCCTTTCCTTAAGAGCACCTTTTCCTTGTAGCAGCACCTTTCATCTTCTAGGCGCACCTGCACCCTTTTTATTGCCCCAATCACCGGTTCCCCCTCCTGCCATTTGTGACTCCTTCCCAGTTCTTGCTATCATAATCAGATAGCACAGCGGTTAGTGTGCGGATGCTTGATTTGAGGTTAAAGCAATATTCAGTCCACTACCCTCATTCGACTCGGGGTCTGGCCTTGGGAAATTTAACCACTTGTTTTTATTGGTTCGATGCCTTTTTAGTTTCACATACACTCTGAGTACTTGTTGTCACAAGCACGGCCCAGTGGTGTAATGGTAACACACACAATCAATTTACAGCGCCTGCAACGTTTTCATTGTGAATTCCTCATTCAATTTGAGGTACGGCCTTAAACATTGTGATTCATTTTTCCTCATAGTGCTTTTTCCTGGTGTTGTTGCAGAGTGCTCTTTTCAATATGCCTTGTTGCAGTGTTTGTCAGTCTTTGCAAGAAGGTGCTTTCCATTTGTCGCAAAAGGTGCTTTCCATTTTGTCCACATTCGTCAGTGTGCGCAAGAAGGTGCTTTCCATTTGTCGTGGTGTTTTGCAAAAAGGTGCTTTCCATTTTATTGTGGTGATCATTATTGTGTGCAAGAAGGTGCTCTCGTAACCAATCTTGAAAGGGTACTTTTCTTCTGTACAGAAGGGCACTCAGAGCTAACCACAAAGTGATAGCTCACACTGCCTGGCATCCACTCGGTGGCGCCGGTTTCTTGGCTTGTTCTTTGGCAGTCACAATCTATCGCACCTTGTATTTGCGCAGGTTTGCCTGTGCACCCGTAGATTCGGATTTCAGAAAAGTGTATCCAATTCGTTGCCACCGTCTTGTCGGAGTCTATGCGCTCCATCTTGTCTTCTTCATGGTTAATTATTAGGTGCTATGGAGGTTCTATTTCAGACTTCTGATTTGACAACTGAGACACAGCAGTAGTCCCATTAATACCCTCTCTAATTGCTCCAGCTTGGATTCTTTCTGCACGCTCATGCAAGATAACAACCAAGATCACTCGCAAAAGACCGTCCCCCGGACAAAGAAAGAACTGGGACACATTGCAAGCGGGTTGACACCAAGGTGCTTCCTCTGATTATGCATGCCAGTGGCTGGCTAGCTCACCCACTCTTCTCTCCAGTCCGAATAGTACATTTTCTACAAACGGCAACCCAAGCAGTGGCGTGAAAAAGAGGGCATGCCACTTTAGGATACATGAACCGCAACTGTCCGCAGAAGAAATGCTATAACTGCTCACGACAGGTGCTTTTTTCACCATTTCAGAACCACACCGCTTACACGTTTTGCGGCAGGGCCACATTTTCCGAGACTGCCCTAAGCCACAGACATGCCATCAGTGCCACAGCGCAGAGTGAGTCAGTTCAATTGTAATAATTGCCAACACTAACATCTTTTCTTTAGCCACATCTCAGTCGAATGCAGCATCTTCAGTGCCATCGTAATCGAATGCAGGGCTAATATCCACTCTGGGGAGATTTCAGATGACATCGCAACGTTCAAATCAGACTAAAGTAGACAGACCACATTTTCACTTTCACTAGTTTGGATGTTTGACATTCTACCCAGACTTACGAAAAGAAATAGAGATGAAATGTTCCCGTGAGATCTGGCCCCGTTCATAGCTGTTGAACTTCTACCGCCCACCCTGTAGGCTGTGAACGTTCCTCAGGAACGATGTTGACCGCATCTGTCAATCTAAAACACTTAGCAGTTCTGTAAGCCGTGTCGCGAGGATATAAAGTCTTGGGGAGACTGTTCTGTCTTCAAGTCGAACCATCATCCAAGTATTGGTGCAATGTCACAGCGGCGCCAGTTCTGGCGCTTTTTAACATTGCCCCTAGGTCCACGCCGAAAACGTCGGAAAGAACCTACTCACTTGGGATGCAATCCGAACATTGTTGGAGCTTGTGGAGCAGTCCGCCGACGTCTGTCCGCCCCTCAAGTCCGACCGTTGGCGCTGTCGGTGGTTTATGCAACCTCGCAGATGCACTCGCGTTCGTTGGTCTCCAGTTGTAGCTTGAACCTGATTTTTCTTACAGAGACTGGCTGCTTCTGATGCAAACACAGACACTTTGGGGTGCGAGTTTTCACCATTCTCAAAACCATTCACAATTCGATCGATTTGGAAAAGCCTGTTTCTCAGGATCTTCTCCATAGCATTGTGCAATTCAAGCAGTACGTGTTCATTTTGAACTTATCAACAATCTTTCTGACACATCTCTCTAGGCTGCTAATCGAAATCCAAACCGCGATGGAAGTTCTCGCCAAAGAGAACCATTTTCTTCATGTTCTACGGTGATGTTCTCCACGATATCGAGACTCATATGGGGCTCGAGCGCAGCAAAGGTCAAGAATTTGTGGACAACATGTTTCCTAAAGCGCACGACGTCCATGCGAGGATACATTTTGTGGATTTATATTTTGGTCGCGGCGTATCGGCGTCGCTTGGCACCGGTACGTGTGCAATGATATCTCCATCTTCGGGTACTTCAACCGAACGCCCAGGTGCCATAAACTCTGCCGTTCTCCGCGAAAACCCATACGATCCTGACGGGCGGAAGGGCTTCAATGTGGGCGCCGCCAAAGCCGCTGGTGCTGCGAAGCGGAGCGAAGGATGTTGAACATATCTTCTGATTGACTTTTGGTGGCACGTTCCGCAACTACATAAACAATATTAAAATGTACGCACTTTTCCCCTGAACACCAGGTCACAAGATGTGGGATAAATGTCGCCTTGGCTGTTTATAATGTGTGGTTTGAAGTCGCTTTACGCCCAAACATTGCCCGCCGTCCCCATCAACAAAAATGTTTGCGCACATTGAGTCGAGGCTGTGCCGAGGCATCTCAGCAATTTGAGTGAAGAATTCGAGGCATGGGTATATCGCGTGTACGTCCAGCTTTCTCATCAGAGTTTTACCCATCCTCCGATGCCGGAATGGAAAACAATTACACCGGTTCAAATGCAACGTGTCGGTGAGGGATATTGGACAGATGACCCCCTATAAAATGGCTAGAAACGACCGTGGAACCTGCTTTTCTTAGTGTTCGACGGCGGTTCGGGCATTCCGGAATGGATTTCCGCGGAACGTCTGAGAGTCGAAAAAACTCGGCATCCACTTGAGGTAAATTAAATTACATTTCAGTGATACCTGCTTATATCGAGACCAGGGCCTAATTCAAGTCACCACACCGTCAGCGGCGAAGATCCACAATTACCCGCCGAAAAAAAAACTCAACCGTGGGAATCCTCCATCAATCTATAGTGTCGTGAAGCTAAGTACGGCAACAACAACTGGCCGACTGACTGGTCTATACCTCGAGTAGTATCATACAACCGCGCTATGCTGAGTCATGTAAGGAGATTATTACACGATCACTAAATATTTCGAACCGTGGGAGTATTTTGATGTCGTATCAATCGATCAATGTTCCGCCTATGTGTTGGAGTTTGCATTGGGACGTGTCCAGAGACCGCAAGGTACACATGCTTGGGTTTCCGTTACGGTTTGTAACACAACAGCACTCGAATTATTCGGCGGAGATTATTGCTCCGCGCCGAATTGGGTTCAAATCGCGATTGACAACGGGAAATCCACACTAAGTATGGTCGGCATATCTGGATAATGCCAAGGGCATCAATCTCAGCTCTGAGATGCTCCATCCCAACCGAGGGAATCAATTTACGGACCTCTGGATTGAACTACATGTATCTTGTAATGGTACAGTAAATTCCACAGAGGTCGAGGAGTTGAACATGCCCGAAATGCCGGAAAGATAGTGTTATCCACCTCCCTAGTAAATAATGAGTAAATTTCAGGTCAAGCCCGCAAACGAGAACGAAAAAAAAAACACTGCCGCACTGATAACATGACCTGATCCCGAATCGAACAGGGATCCTCTGCTTAAACTAGTCAATCATTCCTGCATTTCTAGCAGACACACTAACCAGTTTGCTATCAAGTTATTTTTGTCCTCTACTATGGAAGGTAATATGTACTGCACCAAATTACAGCCCTTTGCGGAACTTAGGGCGCGGACAGTTTTTTTTTTTTTTCATGCTTTTCAACGAGAATCGTTATTTCGAGCTCAGTTCTTGTCCGTTTGCCTTATAAATATGCTCATTGTGTCCGCAATGAAAATGCGGAGGGCACCACGGTCTTCGTTTTCCCTGATGCGATCATAATTGCCTTATTGGGAAAATGTCGCTCTTTTTGTACAGAACTTGTCGCATCCTCTGTGCTGTGGTCAGATTGACCTATAAATTTGATATGACGTCTTTATGAGTATTACGAAGGGCTGGACGGACCGGTATTTCCTCATATTGTATCTATTTCTTGTATACAAGGTATTCAGATATCCCACATTATGAGAATGCAGAATACCGGTGAACTAAGACACACATTCAAAATCCCGGTCCATCCAGCCCTCAATGATACTCATAAAGACATCATATCAAATTTATAGGTCAATCTGACCACAGCACAGAGGATGCGACAAGTTCTGTACAAAAAGGGCGACATTTTCCCAATAAGGCAATTATGATCGCATCAGGGAAAACGAAGACCGTGGTGCCCTCCGCATTTTCATTGCGGACACAATGAGCATATTTATAAGGCAAACGGACAAGAATTGAGCTCGAAATAACGATTCTCGTTGAAAAGCATGAAAAAAAAAAAAAAACTGTCCGCGCCCTAAGTTCCGCAAAGGGCTGTAATTTGTGTTTGTGTTGAAAAGTTATCAACCTTGAAACATCGATATTCACGCCCTCAGCTTCACAGCTCTTTATGTAAGTAGCTAAATGAACGAAGCTTCACATTGTTAGCGAGATGGAGGGAGATGGCGGGAGAGAAAAAAAAAGGTAAGGAGTTTATGGAGTAGTGGCCTGACCCTGAGTCGAACGGGGATCTCCTGCTTCGATATTTTTTGCCGCCCTACTGTGCGCAGATGCACTAACCGGTTGTACTACCAGGCCATGATCATGCTTGGAATTCAAGGTCAACCCACCTTAGACTGAACTTCTCTGGTTAAGTTGAACCATGGTAGATCCCCGATGCCCGCTTCAACCCTCAGGTCCCAAGGCTTGGGACCTCCGTTTATAGACCAGACATCCAACACCGTATTCTGTGGCGCGCAGTCATCCAGCTCAACCCTTACGCGCCATCCTCGAGGCCCTCGACTCCAACTCCCGTTGCTCCTCAAATAACGCGTTCAGATGCAGTCTCCGTACTCGCGTCAATGCGCCCCAGACCCGCCGAAACTCGACGGCTTACGCTCTCTTCCAACGGCGTAGGTGGTATCGGCGGTGGCGGGAGCAGCAACAGCATAACCCTCGATCACCCTCAAACTCGCCCTTCTCCGACACGTCGAGCTGCTGCTCATCGCGCGACCGTCCCTACCGCCGCGCGCGCGGGGAGGAGGTGCCGGCGTATTTACTCGGATCGACTTTGGCGAGTACTAGTTCCACGGGCGGGAAATTTTCGTGCAGCCGGATGGGTGCGTCTTTCTGGTTTCTTCTGGTTTCTTCTTCCTCGTCTGGGGATATTGCGCGCATACACTGGCGCGCGGTTACATGACGCGCAGGACCTCTTTCACCTTTCCGTTCCTCCACCGTCGCCCCGCTTCCACCTCTACGCGCCCCCGCTCCCCATCTTCTTATCTCCTTATAACCTCCTTCTCCCTGCAACTGTCCCATTCGTGGCGGCCGCGCGACTCTCTTTTCATATTTAGCTGCATCATGGCCTTTCTCTTCCCCCCCCCCCCCCCCCCTTCCGCATTCCGCGCTATCCCTACCCCAACCCGTTATCGCCCCGCCCCCCTTTCCCTCCCCTCCGCGCTATTCGTTGTTCCTTCCATGCGGGGCGCGCTCCTTCTACTCTCCTCGTCCAACCCAAACGACAAACTAACCCTTCTCTCCCACAGGCCGCCGCACCCGCTCCCCTCTTTCCCACCTCTCAATGATATCGACGCGCAACGGGAAAACGCGGAAATCCAGCTCGTCTGTTCCCCGCCATACGCGTCTTGTGGGTCGATGGGTCGACCGCGGCGTCCGCGAGGTGCATTGGTGGAAGGGAGTGCGCGAGGTGTTGCGGAGGCGAGAGGAGGAATGTGAGGACCAGGATGGACGAGGGCCAGGCGTTTTTGGTGGGTCTTTCTTCACGGTATCGTGTAATGAGGGCGGAGAGAGAAATATTGCCCGGGCCCCGGACGCGGACGCGCGGGGCGGTTGTGCGCGCTTCTGCGGGAACGGTGCGCGGATGGACCGCTGGGGAACGGAGCCTCAGGATACGAGTGCGTGTACTACCCCCACGGGGGCGTACTGCCCGCGCAAAAAGAGGGTTGCGCGCGCGGGTGCGGGTGCGCGGACGTGTAGGGACGACGCTGGAAGCGCGCATCGCGCACCTTTTTTTTTTCTTGGACGAGTTGTTTCCCTGCTTGACCGCGGGTGCGGGTAGTACGCGGACGTGCGTGTGTTGTTGTTGGAAGAGTTCTTTTGGCGCTTGGGCGCTGGGCGCACAGGGGTGTAATGCCCGGAAGTGCGAGCGGGGAGGGTGTGCTTGCGCTTCTGCGGGGTGGCTCGGTACGCGAAGACTTGCGCAGTACTTCGAGTTGTGTATTCGTACTTAAATGCATATTCCTCTCATATCCTTCCCTCCCTCTTCCCGCTCCGCTTTCTCTCCCTACGCTGATACTCACCTCGTTCCCACAGACGGCGTCCGCGCTCAAGACATTCGGGGTGGTGTCGGGGTGTACGTTCGAGATGGAGGTGCGTCGCGTCTCCGTGGCTGTTTACGTGCGAGGCCGAGGGCGGGAGGGAGTATGTGGAGAAGCCTCCCCTCATAAGGCGATTGGGCTCGCCGTAGACGAATGTGCTTGCCACTGCGCGGGTTTCGACGGCAGCGTCATCGATGGGATACGATTTGGTCTCCGTTCTGTCTGCCTGCACCCGATGGTGATTGTCGCGGTCGCATTTCATATCGACGATCGACTTTTCGTGGCACTTGCGCGTCCTGATGGTTCGGTGGTGCCCGGGCGTTTTCCTTCAGACGAGTGTTTGCGCTTGAGAGTGGATCGGAGTCGGGTTGTAAACATCAAGCTACGTAGGCAAGTGTATTTTGCTGATGCGAGCAGTGCGTGTCCTGATGGTTTTATTCCAACCCACCCCTTGCAAACAGCGTAGACTAGTTTATGAAAACAGGGCACTAAGATTCTGACGCGCCGACGCGTTTAGGGGGATTCGCGTTCGTCACATCACATGTTTTTTAATTGCATCAAATTTCGTGACTCTCCGATTCTCTTTGCGACCGCCATGATGATTACGGGGCTCAACTCGGAGTCAACTCACGCACCGAGGGCTCACCTCGACGGGCTGATTATTCCCCCGGGGTTCACGCTACCGTCGCTCGCATCCGTGCGGACGGATGCGGTCGAAGGTGATTCAACTAACCGCTTGGATTTTTTATTTCGTTGACCGGCGCAAACAGCCAAAGAGATGCAAGAACAGCCCGAGGACTATGAAGATGTGGCCCTCTTTTATCCCAACGCCCGCGGTGTCGAGCTCGTTGCACAAGCTCTTCCGATGCACCTTAGGCTGGCACTCATTTTTAACAACAAGCTACCAAACTTGTTCCGATTCAGTTATTTCGTCCTGGACCAGGACGGTATGCACGTCTTTCCATCCCCCTTCTCCTTATATTTAATGTTATATTTAATTGGTCCCTCGTAGTCCCGGAAGATGTCAAGGACGCATGCATTTGGGCGCTTTCTATGTTCATTCGTATCATGGAAGAGTGCCCCGAGTCCATCCTGAGAGCTCAAGGGCATGTCAGGCCAGGTAACGACTATAAAAAATCTCGATCTATAACGGTGTGTTGGGAGCCTCATGTACGGTCTACACTCTGACTTTACGCAGCTCCTCAATGCTCGGGGCAAGATAACGTCGCACCTTCTGTAAGTCTTTTCAACATTTCCTCATGCAATATGGTCAATCTTCTCAACAGCCATGCCGACCGTGCACGAGAGGCAATTACATACGCCAAAGCAATGGTAGACGAGGAGCTTACTCGCGGCGATGACATGTGGATGCAGAATCCGTACGCAAAAAAGAAATCCCGTTTCACCGAGTCTTGAATCCCTGCTATAGGATGCCCTTCGAGTTGTACGGCGAGGCTCTGGTCCTTTCTCGAGCTGATGACCAAGAGGCTGCCAAAACGCTGCGCCGCGCGATGCGCGGTATCGAATCTGTGGGCCGACCGAGTGATGGTGCATCACACCTCATTCGCAGTCGTGCTTTTGTGTCGCGTGCGCTGCGTAACATAGGCGCGGACGATGAAGCCAAAAGCCAGTTCGTTTTTGCATTTCTCAACTTGAACTGTAATATTTACATATGCGCATCCAGTGAAAGTTGGCTGGCGACCTGGTTTCGCAAGAACCCTCGGTTGATGGCTGAGAGAGAGATGAAATACCTTTTGCTGCCTGCAGGGCCCATTCTCGACTTATTGGGCGGAGAGAAATGGTTGGAAACTCGGAAGCAAACTACAAAGGCCGACCAACGTATCGCCAAAGCATGTCGAACCTGCGGCGCCAGAGAACCCCTGGTAACACTGTTGCGATGCAACAACTGCAAGTACATCTATTACTGGCAAGTCTCTCCTCAGTTTCAACCCTACCGGAATGATCATAATGTCTTTTGTTTTCAGCTCCAGGGAGTGTCAGAAAAGTCACTGGAAGCACCACAAGTACGTCCTTCACCTTTCGTGCACTAGCTCCACCGCTGACGAGGAGACTATTCAGAGTCGAATGCCGGTACGCCGCCAAATCCTACGTGAATACCCCTTGTTCACTCTTCTCGTCAGTGAGCTAGTCGAGACGCAGAAGAAAATAGAGCTTATGGCCCTCACCGATTCCGACGGCGCCAAACGCGCCGCAGATTGGTCGCTCTGGTGCAATTCCAACCACGATGCAACCCAGTTCGGGTTGATTCACGCGTTGGGCCTCCACCGCGACCCAAAACGCGGACGGACACACATCGTGTTCAAGCAGGTCGAGTACGTGCCCACCGCGACCAAGCTGAAGCACAAATTCCGCATTGTCGCTTGCGGGGTCTTTCTCATCAAGGATGTCCTTCGGGATATCGAGACCGTCATGAGGCTTGACCTCGGTGAGGGCCAGGAATTCGTAGACAGCCTGTTCTACGAATTGGACGGTACACACGCCAATGTACCCTTTGTGGATTTGTCTTTTGGAGACGGTGTATCCGCGTGGCTCGGTAGCGGTGCGTATGCAATCGGTCTAGTCTTTGCCCCAAATTAAACCGCACTCTAGGCGCCACGACGACTGATGCTCTCCGTGGACTTTCGTACGATCCTGACTGGCGGAAACGGTTCAACGTCGGTGCACCGCCTGGGCCCTTGATGTTAAAAAGCGAAGCGAAGGATGTCGAACATGTATTTTGAGCGGTGCAGCTGGTCCGCACAATACGGGGAAGTTGAAAATTGAATGCCGAAAATGTTCTTACACAACATAAAAAACGCCAGTAGCTATGCTCCCCTTTGATCAGAAAATATGATTTACTAGTTCCCAAACTTGCAAGACGCAAGGGCTCTCTCTCGTGGCAGCAATTGGCAAATTCGACTTCGATTTCAGGGCTCAGAATCAAGCCTAAGATATATAATACATCGATTCACGGCGAAAATCTCTGTGTTATTTGTGGAAACGAAAGGATTCATCGTGGACTGTAAACACTCATCTCAAATCCCCCGTCATAGGGCAAGGTCAAGTTTGTAAATCCACTATTGGGTGCACGCAGATACTCCAAGAGCTCCTTATACCCTTCTGCCGCCGTCAGTGTATTGTCGGCCAAAACGACTGCTCCCTTTCTCATCTTGGGCTGCACTAGCTTCAACGTCGGAAGCGCTAACGGCGTCCAAACTGCTTCAAAGTCAGGCGATGCATATTTGAACAATAAAACGAACC